ATCAGTACTGTGTTATGCCTGTTAACCCATGAATCTTCTGCTCTCACAGGTCCAGAATTGACTGTTAAACATGCTAGGTACTGGCTAATTAAATTCTCTCATTCATTCATTCATTCATCCATTGAGCAAGTATTTAAGGACATATTATGAGCAGGACCCTGTTCTAGGCACTCAGGATACAGCACTGGATAGAAGAGAAAAACTCAGGGCCATGTTACACATTGTCTTTCTGAGTCTCTTCCTCCATATAAACATACATTAAAATTATACTTTATAACTGCATCCTTAGAAAGATGAGTATATTAATATTAATATGAAAACACTTTTTTTAACCTACAAGTTCATTTTTTCTTCTGATTCTAAGAGAAATTAAACACATTCATGGGTCCCTAGAAGTGTTATGGGCCCTGAGCACTAGAGAAGTTGGCAGAAACCCCACCCGCACAGAGCTTACAGTCAAGACTGGGAGAGCAGAAACAAATCAGATAATATCTATGAGACATGAAACATATATTAGATAACAATAAATTCCCCAAAATAAAAAGAACTTAAAACAGGAATTACAACAAGCAGAGTATGTAATTTCAATTGAGATCTGAATTTTATTCAAATTAATTTTTCTCATTGAGATTTCATGATTATAATCACAAGACTTACAAAATTAGTATTTGTCTAATTTTTTAAAACTTTCTGTTGACTAAACACAGATACATGAAAATGAAGGCTGCACGTGGACATGAGCAAAACACAGAGTTCTTGGCTGTTCTAATTTCTACAGGCTTTGTATCCTTGTGCCTACATTAAGAGAAATGAATTAGAGAATAGAAGGAAACATATCAAATAGTATGTCAGAAGTGGGAGGGGTTTCAAATGTAATCTCAACTAGTGTTATAATAATTCCTCTAATTCATCTGTGGAGAACTTCCAGCCGAGAAAAACAAAGGAAAAGATTCATATATGCCTTGAAATTTGCATCTCTGAACGCTGTTTCTCCCTTAGAGGATAGAGAAGTGCCTAGTTTATGAAGTCAGCTTCCACTTCCCCATTGTCCACTGAAGAATAACTTGCCCTGCAAACTGATCAGACATTGCATTGCATTTGTGAAGCACTCTGTCCACTACACAGGCTCAGACATAACACTTGCGGGATCTTTAAATGACACCTGTGCACACGAGTTAACTACAATATAGCGCAGAGTCTAAAATACAGGCACTGAGCACATTTTTGGGCCAACCACCTGCTCTTGTTTTAGAAGACAATTTCTGTTTGGTTACGAAATATCTAGGCTGAGAGATGCATGTCTCGACTTAACCGTGTATGTCAAGGATTCTTATGGTTCACACATGATACGACTCTTGGAAAAGTCAAAGCAATGGGTTGAATGCTTTCCCCAATCCTTTTCCCCAGAAAAGTGAGCTGTTACTCCAGAAAACACACACAGACACACGCAGACACACAAACGTGCGCACATCCCAGCCAGTCGGCATCACCAATGACCATCTTAAAGAGCAGCCTGTTTCCTCAGGAAACTTGTGCGGTTGAACAAGAGACATGCTATTGTTCAGAAACCCCCGCTTGCTTTCTGTGGTTCTTTGAACTGAAAACTGTTCTTGCTATCTTCTCTAATTCCTCCTCATATCTTTTTCATGGTGATTCTTTGCAAGGATGTGAATTCCTAAAAGCCTCCTTAGCCAAGTGTGGCTGAGCAGTGCGGCTGGGAGGCATCTGTGGGACTATACAGATGCTGGTGTGCAAAGCAAGACTGGGAGCTTCACGGCACGTGGGCTCCGCTGTGACACTCAGCCAGGAATGTCCTCATACAGGGACCTGCCATGTGATGTCCCCGCTGGGCCTGGCCCGATACCTTATTGAGGCGTTTTATTTCACATTCATAGTGTTCCTTCTTCCTGTTCACGAGAGCATTTGTTTCCTTTAAAAGCTTATTCTCTTTCTTTAACTCATGTAATTCTTCATTTAGGCTCTCCTTTTCCTTCTGAAGTAAAGGGCAAGAAAACAAAATCAATGTCAGTGCAATTCAGATGACGTGGTGTAGGCATATTCTGAAATACGGTAAAGGCAGGACTGCGGATTTTCACTTTACGTTGCGTCTGAGCAACAGTCTGTGGTGGAGGACAGGGCAACATAGAAGAAACCTTTCTTTCATCATCCTTAAGCTTCTAAGTTTGGTGACCGCAGAGAAAGATACCAAAATCCCCAGTCCTCACTTTCAAGGGTCAGATGGGTCTCTGCAGAGTAAGCTAGTTCCTGTGGACTGTTATAAGGTGATGGGCTGAGTGACTCAGTAAAATTATTTAGAAGTCCTAAAAAGAAAAAAGCCTCATTGCAACAAAAATGCTAACTATCTCCAAGCCCAACCCTACATCATTCTGGACTAGAGAATGGAGCAGGGGCTAAACTTGAGGCACGTAAGCCCCTCACCACAGATACCGACTCAGAGCACTGTATTGTTGGGACTATTGCTTTTAACAGGGAGAGGTCAGCGAGTGCAGCTGCCGTCAAGCCTCCATGTATCAGGGCGCCTTTGAGGAGTCCAGGGTTCGAAACAACTGAGGCAAGTTTAGTTACTCAGGCATGAACACACTCTGAATTCTGACATCCGCTTCCAATCTCTTTACTTTATATCCTGGATAGTAAACTTGGTGTGGAGTGAATTGGATTCTTAATGAGACAGAGACTTTAATCTAGTAAAAGGAATATTCCAGAATTTAGGTGAATCAAAATGAGAAAATAGCTAATAACCATATGTTCAAGTGTATTATTTTAGTACTTGATACTTCCCAGTACAATGATTAGATTTAAGAAATCTACTTTAGGTGAGTCATTTTCTTTCAAAAAGTGAAAACATTTCTATTTGCTTTAATTGAAGTAGAATGGGCCTGTACACATAGAAAATGAACCAAGCATTTTCTATGTCAGCATAATCTAAGAGAAAATTGTTTCAACTAGAAAATGGTCCCAACTGCATGAGGAAAAAATTGCCATGATTCCCGGAAAGGGCTGCCTCATGGCCGAAAGGGAGAGGCTAAGCCTTGTTTTCCTCTGACTCCCTGCAACAAAGGTCCATCCTTAGCAAGGTAGGAAAGCTGTCTGCACAGATCTGAGACACTGCCGAAAGATCTGTGCATGTTTCACAGTAAGCTAGTGCCTCGGAATATCAGTCACAAAACTTCACCTGAGAAGGTTTATTGTACACTTCTTGTTTTTTCTTATCCTACCTAAAAAAATGAGAGGCTTAAGGTTTTCCTCCCATTTTCCCCCCTACAGTATCCACGAAGTCCAGGAACTGCAGGTAAAACCAGGAGTCTGTTTCAGGAGAAGCAGTCACCTCGGTGGCCGCCACGGAGGGATGAATGGAGCCTTCGAATAGGTTCTGTTTCCTGACTCACAAGTTATCAGCCCTAACCGCTTTACAGCTCAGCCTTCTCAGCTTTCAAATGGCAGAAATCATATTTTTCTCACGGATGGGCTGGGAATGTTAAAGGAGATAATGATGGCAGGTACTTTATAAATGTTCTATTTTCCTGATTACAGAAATAATACCTATTTGTAAAGCTCTCTGTAAGCTGAAAAGCAGCTGTACCAGTAATATCATCATATTAGTAGCATTACTAGTAATACAAGCAATAAATGGGTTTAAAAAAAGGAAAAAAAATGCATTTTCTTCTAGGCCAAAATGCCCTGGAAAGACATCACAAAATCCATGGCTCAGACTCTCTCTCACTGGTGAATCGCAGAGGAGGAAGTGTGGGCACCCCCTTCCTTCCGAGTCCCGGAAAGGGGTCCATGATTGTGGCTTTGGGGGCTTTCGTAGCCCTCGCACATGGGTCACTGCCCGTGTGTCCTCAGCTCGCACTCAGGGCAGGGGTCACTCTAGCCCTCACCCACCTCCTTTCCGTTCTGCGGCTCCTGCGGCCTGTCGCTGGCCGTCTGGCTCGGTGGCCGCTCCTTCTCCAGGGTGCTGAGGATTCTTTCTGTGGAGTCCAGCTTTGTCTTCAGCTCTGTGATCTGAGGAAGCCGACACAGACAGCTGCAGTCCCCTTTTCTGAAGCTGACACCCCCATGGCTCTATTTCCAACCTGCCTCAGGGGCCAGCATGGCCCGGCTCCTGGGCGTCCCGGGACAGGCTCTGCGCGCCCCCCCCCCACACACACACACAGGTCAGGACATTCGATAAGGAGTGTCCCCTGCGGAAAAGCAAACACCACACAGCCGCCAGCCCACCCCACCCCCCGCCCTTTCTCCAACCACACCGCCTCCCAGGGAATAAACAGTTAGGCCTTCGACAGGGACACTGGCAGGCTTGGCACCCGACATCAGCTCTCAGGTGAGCTTGCCTGGTCTGTGAAAGACAGTGAGTCTGCCCACACCAGAGAAAAGCAGACATGGCCTTAAACCCAGGTAACCTGCAGCCTGTCCTGCGAGTAAGGCCGCACTATTCATCAGCGTGACCGTAGTCCAGTGAGAGAAGCCTCACGGACAGTGATTCCTCAGAAATGGGGATTATTCCTGTTTGTTAACTGCAGGGCATCCCACAGCTGCAAACCATTCAGGAACCAAGCAGCTTAAACATTTCCCCTGTCATCTTGTCCTGTAACATCTGGAGACCCCGCAGCTGCCCCGGACTCACTGTTAAAAGGTGGACTGACCATGGCCCAGTGTTGTGGGGCCATTACCCTGTTTTTTCTCCATTTAATGCATCTGGGTATCAAAACAGGGAAGAAGAGACCCATTCCGCTGCATTCCTCACTTGTGGCCAAGTTTCTTAGTTCTGAATTACTTAGGGGACTTTACCGTACTTTCTCTTTTCTCTCTTTTGAGCATGGAGTGATTTTAAATTCTAAATTGACTTTTACCTATTACAAGATATTTTCTCCAAAAACAAATGTCTTTCTCACCAAAATGTCTTTCTCAAGCAAAAGCTGCTTGAGAGAGAGCATGCGTTAGAGAGAAGAGGGGATGCCCCACTTCCGCTCACACTCTCACTATCACCACTATTCTCACTATTCTTTATCTGTGGAAAATAGCGTATGCTGTCTAATGAAGGAATTAGAGAGCTAGC